AGGGTCTCCATCTAAAGGCATATTACTTTCTCCTTTCCTCAGTAATCCACTTAAACAATCATGTTGAATACTAATATTTGTAGTCATTTTGTATGAGCACAGTAAGAGATATATTAAGCTTAAAGAGTGGCTTCTCCTGGGGACATCTCGCTGTATATCCCAGACTACAGTCCTCAGGCCAGGTTTTCTTTTTTTTTTTTTTCTTTCTTTCTTTTTTATTAGTGAAACGACATGAGGTACAGTTGTAGATTTACAAATTTTTGTGCTTGGATCTCGGTCATACCACGATCAAATACCCATCCCTCCGCCAGTGCCCATTTTCCACCACCAGGATAATATCCCTCCCCCCATCCCCCCATCCCCCCCTGCCACTGTGGCAGGGCACTCCCCCTTGTTCTCTCTCTCCTTTTGGGTGTTGTGATCAGCAAAAGAGGCATTGAGTGGCGAACATGTTCGGTCCAGTCTACTTTCAACCTGTATCTCCCCTCCTGGGAGGATCCTCCAAACACCCTCCACTTGGTGTTCCCCTTTCTATCTGAATTGTCCTTTCCCCTAGAATACCCAGCTGGCCTCTAAGTTATGGAGTAATTCTCCTGGTGTTGCTCTCAGCTATTCTTGGGTATTAATCTCATATTTTATTATTTTATATCCCCCAGATGAATGCTATCTTTCTATGTCTATCCCTCTCTTTCTGACTCATTTCGCTTAGCATGATACTTTCCATATTGTACCACTTGTATGTAAAGTTCATGACTTCATCTTTTCTAAGAGCCACATAGTACTCCATTGTGTAGATGTACCAAAGTTTCTTTCCTAACCCCAGAAGGGGCCTATTCAGTTACTTCTTCTTGGGTCATGACAGAGTTTGTTCCAGACGGTGCTCTTAACTTATTATACTTTTTATGGCACCTAGCTTGTCTTTTTTTGATGCCACAGTAGCTTACAGATTGCCCTGGGTCCAACCTTGTCCCTCACTAGGACCCTTGTTTTGAAGGTGTTATGGAATTAAGGGCAACTGAGGTTTAAGTCAGGTAAATATGATGGTAAATATGATGGAGTCAGTTAACTCCCATGTTACAAAAGCCTAGCATTAACAATCTTCCTGTGTCTATACAAAAAGGTCATTGCTATACCATGCAAAGGACATAAAGGAAAGAGAAAGACATAAAAGAAAGAGAGAGGAGGACCTGATGGAATTGGGTGTGCCTCAGGGGCACTGTTGTGGGAGTAACTCAATAAACCTAAGCTCTCTGTGGAGGAAGAAGGACAAACCAATGTTATCCAACACTTTCACATGATGACTTTCATAAATGAACCCAATTTCTGTGTAGGATAATCTCATTATATTTAAAATTCAAAAAAAAACTTGGGATTTTTCATGGGCAACAGAAAACACTTATCCCAGCACCACCATGATCTTAATTTTTTTTAGGATGTGACTTCAAAGAAATTCCTTCCTTCCTTCCTTCCTTCCTTCCTTCCTTCCTTCCTTCCTTCCTTCCTTCCGTTCTTCCTTTTTTACTTCTTTCTTTGTGGGCCACACCCAATGGTGCTCAGGTCTTACTCCTGGCGCTGTGCTCAGGAATCATTTCCTAGCTGGGCTCAAGGGATCATCTGGGGTTCTGGGAAGAGCTCTACCCACTGTACTATCTCTCTGGCCTTAAGAAATATATTTTCTTCCTTGAAAACTTTGCTGATAGCTCTCTGATCTAACATTTAGTTTTGCCCAATACTTGATTAGAAAAATCTAACTGTGATCACAAAAGGAGCTAGTTTAAGGAAAAACCCAACACAGAAGTTCTGAACTAAATGAGTTATAGGGAAACAGAGTTTGGACTCTATGTTGTTTATAAAATTCTTTGACCTTTAGGATTTCTTGTTATTGGAGTGAATAAATTTCTGCATTTACTTAACACACTTATATGGTAATTATTTGTTCTTTTCCACTGGAGACTCTCAAGATCATAAACTTTTCTCCCGTCATGGCAGCCCACACTGTTTTGGATCTGGCCCAAGGTAAGTGGTGAAGGACAAATCAAACAACTGATTTTTTTAAAAATGGAGGAAGATCCAAAATAAGCTTCCTTAATTTTTTTAGAAGTTTTATTGGACTTTTTAGATTTAATTGGCTCACCAAATCTCATATTTGATGCATCTGTCTCTAAGACATTTGACACCCTTGAGAGGTTCTGTCTGATAGTTGCCTTTAATGCAGAAGTCAAACCATTTTTTTTTGTTGCTCCTCCTCCCCCCCATCCCCCATAGTTGAGGTAACATGGTTACAATAGTGTTAAGGGTTCATGCCTGTGGTGTACAAAGTTACTGCACCTTCACCATCATCAAAGCCAAATTTATGAAATGAATAGGCTAGTCCTGGCTCATCTACTATTTACATCACCACTGTGATATTGAATAACTTTTTTGTTTGCTCTCCATTTCAGTAGAACCACACTCAGCCAATCTGTCACAGTTTAACAAGAAGCTCTGGAACTCATGGCGAGATACCCAGACATTTATAACTACTGAGTGCAGTTTCTTTGCCTTCCTTTTTCCTGAATCTAAATTTACATTATTTTCAGCAATCCTCAGTTCACACTCACACTCACTGTTTTTTTTATTTCTGAATGAAACTTAGCCTCTTCTCTTTCAGCCACAAAAGGAAAAAATCTGGGATCCACCAATTTAATAGACTCTTGGTGTTTGCTTTGTGCCAGGCCCTGTTCTGGGTACAAAAATAAGAATATACATAGATCTCCTCAACGGTTAACAGTTTCTTGAGTTTTGCAGCCACATTACCTATCATTGAGCACCTCACCTTGAGCACTACTGCTCCTGGCTCTGTGCTCAAGCTCACTTCTGGCAGGTGCTTGGGCGACCATAGTGCTCAGGAGAAACATGGAGTTCCAGAGATCAACCAGTGGGTCTGTCCTACAAAGAACCTGTATGATATCCCTAGTTCTAAAGATATAAGTTTCTTGAGGTTGCTAGTTCAACACATGCTTCTTTCTCAGGTTCCCAAATAACAATGAAACTTAAAATGTGCCCATCCAGGAGGCAGGCTGGGAAGTAAAAGGAACCTGGGGACATTGGTCGAGGGAATTTGACAGAGGTGATAGGATTGGTGCTGGACAATAGTATGCCTGAAACTCTACTATGAATAACATTGTAAATCACAATGCTTTAATAAAAACAATGAAATATAAAAATGCCAAGCTCACTGAAAAATTAATTTTGTCTGAGGTGATAATGAACACTTACCTTATTTAGACTGAAGGCTTTGTCTTAGATAATCTACATCGAGTCATTAATGCTAAGAAATCAATCTCAAGTGACAGGATTGTAAGACAGATGTAAAGTCTGAAGTAACTTGGGCTCATTAGGGGGCAATATTAATACTGTCATGGCATAATGAAAAGAATGTGATAACTCAGGGATTTCAGGGATGTGAGACCAAAGAACCACTGAGTTCCGAGTGTGTGCTGTGGCACAAATTCAGTCCTATTCTCCTTCTCTCTTCTACCCTGGTCTGACAGTCCTAAGCCAGGCAATTGATACCTGTGCAGCCAGAACTTTTGGTATACTGTTAGATCCTGTAGACTGAAATTCCCTAAAACTAGTAGAAAGATAACACTCACTTTGACAGTTGACATTTAAATGTTCTCAGTGATGAAAAATGTAATGTATAATAAATAGAGTCTGTCAGCACTTTTAGATGTCTTATCATGAAAAATAAAATAAAATTGAATCAATTGTTTTTGTTTAAAGAAATGTGAAAATGAGTTTAGAGGGGGAAAAAAAACCTCCTGAATCATTCTGAACTTTGGCAACTTAGACTTAAGTAATTTCTATAAGATTTTAGAACTCAGCATTTTCCAATTATTCTTCCTTATCAGTTGAATGGGTTGTTCTCATGTGCTTTGGTCCCACTGATACCAACCCTTGAACCATCAAAGTAGGTATAATGTAAGAAATTGAGAAATCTTTGAAAAAAAATCTGCACTTGATTCAAAAGGCATCTTCATGTGGTAGAATTGAAAGTCAGGCAGATATGGATTTTAGTATTGGTATTGGCAAGTATGAAACGGCATTCTAAGATTAAAACTACTTTGGGATGGTTACAGCTTCCTGGGCTCACTGTTTTTGAGGACATTCAGTTATGGTGACAGTACAAGATACAGAATTGGGAGTGAGTGGAGGTTTCAAAACTCTTTCCTTCCAGGTCTGCTTCCCCAACTTATTAATCAGAAATAACTCGGATGATCTGTATGAGTGTCTATATGTAAATGCATTTTTAGGCATGAGGAATATGGGGGACTAAAGAAAGTTTTTTTGTTGCTGTTTGATTTTGTGTGTGTGTTTGGGGGCAAGAGGGCAGCGGCAGTGGTTGTTGGGGCCATACATAGTGGTGTTCAGGGGCCATGCTTGGCTTCATGCTCAGAAGTGACCCCTTAGTGGTGTGCAAGTGATCACATGCAATGTGATGATCAAACTGGGGTCTGCTGCATATATGCAAGATTACCTGTAACAGAGGTAACTTTTGCTCTTTCTAAAAATAGTTGGAGGGAAGGGCTGGAGCAATAGCACAGGGTAGGGCAGTTGCCTTGCATGTGGTCGACCCGGGTTCGATTCCCAGTATCCCATATGTTCCCCTGAGCACCACCAGGGGTAATTCCTGAGTGCAGAGCCAGGAGTAACCCCTGAGTAATCTCTGGGTGTGACCCTCCCCACAAAAGAAAGGAAAAAAATTGTTGAATATTTATTGATAAGTAGGATCATGAGTAGGCTGATGACAGGTAGCTTACTAGGAGAATGTCTGTATCCTAGTGCTCCCCCCACCCCCATCCCCACTATCTCATGTAATGACCTATCTATTAGGCTACTTTATTATTTATCTTGGCAGGCTTGGAACTGAACAAAATAAACATTCACTGAGGCAATTTTTCAAAGACCTCTGCCTTTTGAATAATGATTAAAATAAAAGACACGGACCACTGTACATCTGTGATAACTTTTTTCTTCTCTTTAGAAAAAAAATATGTACAAAAAATGCTAAAAGTCAACATGGAACTGTCAAGAAAACATTCTGGTAGGTACAGACAGGGGAGCTCCTTCTCTTTAAGGGGTTAAGACATTAGTTATTATCATGCTAGAAAAATGAGATGCAGTTAAAATTCTAGAACAATTAAGCCACAAAGTCAAGCCATTGCTCTGGGGCTCTAAGTTGTAGATGCTCTGTTACCCTTTCTGTAAAGTAATACTGTGCAAACTGTAAAATATTCATTTTCATATAAAGTCCATACAATATGATATACAAAACTGTTGAGTTAACCAGGAGGCTGGTGTTGGCTGCTGCTTTCTTTTTCTTTCTTTTTTTTTCCTGAAAGAAGGTGGCAGTATTACTTGCCTGCTCAAAGACATGTTTATAGAAAGATCTTGAGTTTCTTAAGTGGGAGAGGTCCTTATCTAAAGCGGAACATATAATTACAACACTTCAAATTCAGACTTCTCTGCCAATTATTTATGCAACTAGATTACTTCATTAACAATGACATGAGTTTAGATTTTATAAACATAATTAAATCAGAACATGAAGTTCTTTTGGAAGTAACATACTTTTTTTTGCACTATGGACTTTGAGACTTATCATTAACCAACATTGCCTTCTCTGCAACTCAAAAGTAAACAACTTTTGTCAAAAATTCCGGAGGCAGCAACTGTGGTAAGAAAAGGTTAAAGTGAATTGTTGTATTAATTTTATTTCTGTGTCTATAAAACTGAGAAAAGAAGCTTAGTGTACAAATATCACAAAACAACATCAACCATTGAATAAATGTGGTTCCTCAATGCACACTTGAACAAGAAGAAAGTTTTGTTGGTTTAAAAGTCTGGCATAAATATATTAAAGCTGACCAAAAAAGGATAAAGAAAAAGGAAAAAAAAATCAGGGCAAGCTACATCACTTCCTCATACAAAAAAATGTACAAAACATTAGCCTCTAATTAGATAAACATAATACTTGTCTTCACAGTTTGACATTCAGTAACTGTGTGTCTTGAAGTATCCAATTGGAGGGTGATTTAAAAAAAAACAGCTTGTGGCATCTTAGAGTCTCAGGTCACTTCCGTCATAGAGGCAGAATGATTCTGCAAACACAAGCAGATAACAAATTATTAGCCTTTAATGGATGAACTAATTCATGCAATCTATGCTTTGTTTTCCCTGACTATCTGCTGTGTCTTTTGTATTGTTTTGTGAGGTGTGGGAGGATTAGCCACTCCTGAAGAGGGAGCTCCAGGGCCAATCTTGGCTGAGTCCTCCTGATCAAACTGGAGATGGACTCCTGCAAGGCAACTGCCTTAACCTGTACACTAACTCCTTGCCAATTTCTTGTTGCCTTGACTCGCAAAGGCTGTTCCCTCAATTTGCACGATTTCTTCTAATTTAGTAATAGTTTCTTTCAAAGAAATAGAAGCTTCTTAGTTAGGCAGTCTATTTGCTTAATTTTGCTTTTTGGCTTTTCCTTGATATCCTTGCCAAGGGAGTCAAATCCCTAAAGACACCACAGTCTTTGTAATGGAGTAAACTGCCTATATTTTCTTCAATGTGTTTTATGAATGTGCAGCTATCATCTCTGGAGCGATAGCACAGCGGTAGGGCGTTTGCCTTGCATGCAGCCAACACGGCCGACCCGAGTTCGATTCCTCCGCCCCTCTCGGAGAGCCCGGCAAGCTACCGAGAGTATCTCGCCCGCACGGCAGAGCCTGGCAAGCTCCCGGTGACGTATTTGATATGCCAGACACAGTAACAACAAAGTCTCCAATGGAGACGTTACTGGGCCCGCTCGAGCAAATCGTGATCAACGGGAGGGCCTCGAGCCTCGAGCATCTATCATCTCAAATTCTAATCCATTTTTGCTTACTTTTGAGCACAGTGATCCAATTTCATTCGTTTGCATTTGATTAATCAGCTTTCTCAGCACTCTTCCTTTATCAAGGAAGCTGGTTATTTTATGTTCTTGGCTTGTTTGCCATAAATTAACTTTTCATATACTTGGAGGTTTATTTTTGGGTTCTCAATTCCATTCTATAAGCCAGAGAGTCTGCTCTTACGTTTTATTTCAGAAACACACTGTTCTGTATGCGAGTTTTCTAATTGTATTTAAAATCATGAAACTCTAAGGTTCCTCCCCTCCCCCCCACCCCCCGCCCCGCAAGATTACAGTAGCTATTGGTGGTGGTTGCTGTGGGGGCTGAGGTGTGGTTTCATACAAATTTTAATTGTACTTGTTCTATGTTCTTGGACAATGCCATTGAAACTTTGTTAAGGGGCTGGATTGCTAGTACAAAGGGTAGGACGTTTGCCTTGCACTTGGCTCACCTGTGTTCGATCCCTGATATCCCATATGGTCCCCCAGAAATGTCAGGAGTAATTCCTGAGAGCAGAACCAGGAGTAACCCCTGAGTATCATTGGAGTGTGAACCAAAAAGCCCAAACCAAAAATATTTATTAAGCTTTTCATTGAATATGTATAATGTTGTGGGCATAATGATCATTTTAACAGTTAATTTTTCAAATCCAGCGGTTCCCAAATTTATTTCTGAAAACAAAAATCCTGGAAAAAGAAGACTGAAAATAACTTTTAAGTAGACAAACAGAAAGTATCCATAATTACACCCAGGGTCACAGGGTCTCCTTGGATTGTTTCCGTCCTGTCTATGCTGAGTCCCCACTAACAAGAGGGGCTGAATTACCCATTTGGGGAAGCACTAGATTGGATTAAAATCTAATTCATGAACATAGAATATTTTTCCTTTTCTTGGTGTCTCCTATTTGTTTTAAGTGTTCATGTTTCTGCAGGCCTGAGCTGTAATTAAATATTTAAAAGTATGTGTGCATGGAGGCATTTGTGCATCAAAATTGAGCATATTTGGTACATGAGCAAACAAAACAAATGTGCTTGAGCTAACAAAGTTTCCCAGAATCAAGTTAAACTGGTCAGGTTGAACTTGTCAAATTTAATTTGTCATATTCAAACAAACCTGTGGCCATGCCAGTACTCAAGACTGTCCATGCCTGGCAACCTGGGTGGTAAACATAACTTTTAGAGTTGAATTATAAATGTCAGAAATAAATAGCATTTTCAGGTTCTTTTATCTGTGCAAACTAATGTTTGAGTGTCTTTAATCATAATGTGGACAATAACTTTCTTTTTGTTCTTCTTATTATTATATGGGCTGGAGAGATAGCACAGAGGGTAGGGCGTTTGCCTTGCACGCAGCCAACATGGTCAACCTGAGTTCTATTCCTCTGCCCCTCTCGGAGAGCCCGGCAAGCTACAGAGAGTATCTCGCCTGCAGGGCAAAGCCTGGCAAGCTACCCCTGACGTATTCGATATGTCAAACAAGTAACAATTGTCACAATGGAGATGTTACTGGGCTCGCTCGAGCAAATCAATGAACAATGGGAGGACAGTGACAGATTATTATATGCTTTCTGTATTGAGAAAAGGGTCAATCTTTGGTCCATTTATGTTTTTATAATATTCCATTAAGAATATGGTAAGGACAATGTAGTAGGTACAAATAAATTCATTGTCATAATTAAACATGAAAATGTGGGCAGATTTCTTTAACTAACCAAGTTATTTTTTCTATTTATAATAGTAAGTAAGTAAAGGCCCTCCCGTTGATCATCGATTTGCTCGAGCGGGCCCAGTAACATTTCCATTGGAGACTTTGTTGTTACTGTGTCTGGCATATCGAATAATCTCGGTAGCTTGCCGGGCTCTCCGAGAGGGGTGGAGGAATCGAACTCGGGTCGGCCATGTTGGCCGCTTGTAAGGCGAACGCCCTACCGCTGTGCTATCAATTTACTAATTTGTATCAAAAAGGCCACTCAAATTCCTTTAGGAACATATCTATATCTATTTAGATCTTTCTATATGGGGGGCATACACAATGTTCAGGGCTTATTCCTGGCTCTTCACTAAGAGGTCACTTTTATTTTTGGCTTCTCGGGTCACACCTGGTGATGCACAGGGGTTACTCCTTGCTCATGCACTCAGGAATTACTCCTGGTGGTACTTGGGGGACCATATAGGATGCTGGGAATCGAACCTGGGTCGGCCGCATGCAAGACAAACACCCTACCCGCTGTACTATTGCTCCAGCCCCTAAGAATTCACTCTTAGCAGTGCTCAGCAGACTATATGTAGTACCAGGAATCAAACCCTGGTCAGCAGCAAACAGAGCAATCACCCTACCAGCTCTACTATCTCCTTCCTTTCTTCCTTCCTTCCTTCCTTCCTTCCTTCCTTCCTTCCTTCCTTCCTTCCTTCCTTTCTTCCTTCCTTCCTACCTTCCTTCCTCCCTCTTTCCCTCCCTCCCTCCTTTCCCTCCTTTTTCTTGAGCTTCCTTCCTCCTTTCTCTTTCCTTACTTTCTTCCTTTCCCCAAGCCTGCTGAATTAGAATCTCTTGGAGAAAGTTCCCAGCACCCAACCTATTGTACTCTTTCTCTCTCCCTCCCTCCCTCCTCCCTCTCTCCATTCCTTTCTTCCTTCTAAGCCTTTCTAACCAGAATCTCTTGGAATGAGGTCCCAGGCTTCTTGCTCTTGCAATTTGCTGCTGCATTCTTTTCTGTTTCGTTTTCCCTGCAGCTGGAGTCACAAAGAAACTTTCTGTCAAACCCAAAGCAAGTTAACACAGATGCTTCATGTCTAATTTCTTTGTGAATACAAACCTACATGTTCTACAAGGATGCAGTCACTCCATGCTTGCTTAGATGAACCAAGGCATGTGAATATAAAATATAAACAGCTAGAAGTTTTAACTTAATTTATTTTTATTTTTTATTTCACAGTGTCTGTGAAATCCTACAAATTGGTCTCTGTATAATTGTGATAATACAGTGGAATTATAAATGCTTTGGAAATTTGCTTTTTTTGTTTTGTTTGGATTCTATAATTATTTGTTTTTAATTTCTCTTTACCAATTGGAAAATGCAGTCTGCTACAGTGAACTGGACTAAGGGGAAAATCACAGAAAACATATGAAACTTTTCATGATTGTTTTAGTGGAGAAGAAAGAACAAGGGTTCTGGAATCTCCATGGATCAATGGGCAGAGAATGTTCCAGAACCTTCCCTCCCCAGACAGTCTTCTGGAAGTATTTTGAACATGTTTGTGGAAATGTGTTTTGAGGAGAGAGTCATGTCTTCTTTCAGATCCCCAAAGTTCCTCTTCCTAGGACACTGGTTCTATTAAAAATACAGTTTCTGTTAACCACAACTGAGCTGTACAGAGTTCCTGCCTATTGAGTAGAACAGGGCATATTTATTTTGGACATTCCATATTTTAGTTGAAACTCATCAGTTATATGCACCATAATCCAAACACTCTATCGTCTCTGGCATGTTGCCATAATTCATGCTGAGAGTTTAAGTTTATAAATGAATTATGAAAAAAAAAGGAAAGAGACAAAGACCTCAGGCCATATGGTGTAGCAGAATGTGTATACTCTTTAGGATGAAGTAGACCATGTCTTAATTTTGACTGTGTGACCCTAGGCATGTTATTCAAACTCTTTGGGTTTTCCTTAAGTCATAAAATAGAAATAACTATTTATTTAATAACAAGTCAATAATAAGTACTCATTATAACAACTTTCAGAATTATTGTGTGGATTAAATAAAATGATTTATAACAAATGCCATTTCCCCCCATTTGATGAATAAAAATAGTGTATATCCTCCTAAATAAATTTCAGGTGAAAAAATTTGACACCAAAAGTGAAATTAAGTGGTTACACACATTTTGGACAATGGTTTGAAAGGCATAACTTGGAAGTAGTACTTTTTTTCCAGCTTCCTATAGCTTCATTTTAACAAGCCTAATAAAGCCCTGTTCATTGCTTTGCAAAGATTTCTATTTCCCACAGTGAATACAGGTTAATATAGGAACCATAGTCCTATTCTTGGTTCTTGCTTGTGACTAAAATGCCCAGGTTTTGGTTCTGGTTTGTATGATAGAAGAGAAAATGTCTGGGAGAAGGCCCCAGATATAGGGTAATGTCTGAGCAGTATTGGACAGAAGCAGGTGGGAGGGGTTGTTCTTAAGCCAGCCATGATGTTCAGAGCAAAGTGAACATACATGTTTGTAAAATTCAGCAAATATTTTAGTTTTCTCTTTAAAATTTACCCTTGCTTTTATTGCTTCATTTGGAAAATCATCAACCACTCCTACCTCATTGGGTACAGAATGTCATTAGATAGGGAAAAAAAAACTAGATAGAGTCAATGTCACGGTTGTATTATAAGGTCATATTATTTAGCTATTTGGTCATTCCATCTCCATTAGAAGATGGAATAAAAATGGCCTAAAATTATTTTTTAAGCATGTTATTTCTAATTAAATCAAGCTAAATTTTCACCTTAATACAAATGGAAAGAAATGCAACCAATAAAACAAAACAAAACAAAACAAAACTGGGTAATGGGTCTCATATTTTCCCTTCAAATGAAAATAGTTTCATTGCTTTGTTTTAAGACTCATTATTAAAAATCATGAAGACTTCATTAAATGTGTCATTTTTTGGCACAAAGGAGTTAATTTCATAGAAATGTCTGTTAATAATCTTGACTGGGAAAATATTTTATATTATATTGATGGGAAGTACATGATAATTTCCATGAATGGTTTTGCTTTCTGCTCACATTATCTACAAAAATGTTAGAAAATGCCAAATAAAAGGAGGATTTCAGGATAAGAGGACTGTAACTAAAGTTAGACATAACTAAGTACTTCCTGAGGATTCAGGATTGCCAACCCCCCGAATGAATGCAGGGCTAGTTTAGGGAAGCTATAGAGTTCTTTGGAACCTTTACAATGAATGCATCAGAGTCTTATCAGTTCTGGATTGATTCAGAGGTGTCCTGCTTTCAGCAAACAAATAAATTAGTTGACTTCCCAAGGTAAGAGGCCCTGAGCCTGTTGGTTTGACTTCGTAAAAGCCAATAACTATACCTGTGCACTTAATGTTTCCAGGGGGCTTTCTATCCTTGGGAAAGCCATTAAGGGTACTCCACGGGGATCCTCAGGTTTGGGTTTGGAAGGAGATCCTTGTGTTCCTTGGAAGTTATGAACCACACACATTCCCTGTAGGATTAGGGGGGAAAAAAGAACAGGGTTATAGTGAAGCCATCAAAACTTAGCCACCTATAGAGGGAGAGGCCTTTCTCCTAAACTACCAAAGACTTGGTGATTTATTTTTCCCTTTAAGCCAGTGGGTATGAACTGTGATAAAATCTGGGATAAGGTCCAGGGTTTCTGCTGAGCACCAGCCAACTACTGGGGAAATTTTTATCTGTTTATTTGATCAGCTAATGGCCAGTGATAATCAGCCCACACCATTCAGACTATTTTATCACTCTTAAGCAGGTAAGAAAACTATATCTCAGGGATATGTTACTAAATGGTAACACAACATAAATATGAAACACCTCATAATAACAGTTAAAATTCATTAAGGGGCATTATTATGTCTAGCACTGAATGAAGGTTTCACCCTTTTTCATTTTACCCACTTGAAATTCTTAGAAGGGAGGAATTATTAGCATCTCCAGTTTGGTTAAAGAGTCATAGAAAAGTTAGATAACATCCCCGAGGTCACTCAGAGAACTTTAAATCATACCAATATTATATTTTTTTCTTAATAAATGTCAAACATATAGGAAATACTTAATCCAAAGTATAATTTGAGATGATTATCATTAAATTATGTGATTATTTCCTTGGTATTAAGTAACCTGCTATAAAACTTGTACTAATATCAAGAAAAGGTTTTCCATAGAAATTTCTTTATTTTGGGGGTTATGGGCCACATCTGGCAGTGCTCAGGGATCAGTTCTGGTGGGACTCAGGAGACTATAAAGGATGCCAGGGATTGAACCTGGACCAACTGCGTGCAAGGCAAGTGTCTTATGGACTGTATTATCTTTCCACCAGCACCCCCTCTTTATGTCTTATTGAGGCTCCTTTGTAATGAAGATTGCTTTTATCATCTTTGCATTTTCCCCATGTATTTAATCTCTCTCCATACCTTTTCTATCATTAGGTATCTTTGTTTTCAAAATCACTATCTCTGAATCTTTCCTCCTCAAACACTATAGAACATTTACATAAACATTCTCTACTTCATTCATGTCCACCTCACTCTCCAGTTCTCCTTAAATATCCTGTACTCAGGAGACTAGGAAGACAGTGAGGATTTGGAGTTGGAGAGACCAAGTTAGATTCCATTTTTTTTCTTTAATTGGGTGGCCACAAGTGACTTAATTTTTGTTTTGTTTTGTGGCCACACCAGGCAGTGCTCAATGAACACTTCTGGCAGTGTTTGGGAGACCACATATAGTGCCAGGGATTTAACTCGGTTTGGAAATGTACAAGGTAACCTTAACCCTTACTATCTCTCTGGATCCTGAGTTACTTCTCTTTGAACTTTACTTTCTTCATGCATAAGATGAAGTTAAGAGTATTGTTATAATTATCCTAGGAGAAGATGCTTTGGAGAGTCAGCACTGCTATTTCTAGCTGAGGATGGCTAATCCAGGGATACCAACATGACTTGGCTTTACTTTGGAGCCTAAGCCTTCGTGTAAGTACCACCAATCTCTTTTAATAAACCTCTCTTGTCTTGAAGTCACCAGTGCAATTTTCTTCTTTTAAAAAGCAGTTTCAGGGGCTGGAGTGATAGCACAGCAGGTAGGGCGTTTGCCTTGCACGCAGCCAGCATGGCCGACACAGGTTCGATTCCCAGCACCCCATATGGTCCCCTGAGCACCGCCAGGAGCAATTCCTGAGTGCATGAGCCAGGAGTAACCCTTGAGCATCGCCGGGTGTGACCCAAAAAGCAAAAATAAAATAAAATAAAAAGCAGTTTCAGGAAATTTCCCCTATGAAATATAAACATCCAGGATCACATCAGCATGAATTTTCCTGCAGCCTCTCTCAGAGAGCTTTCATTTAAGTTCCCTATCTTTCACTGTAGAATGATAGACCTGGTCTATTACAAAGAATTTTGAATTAGAATGGACCTTCTCTGAGGTTCTGAATAAGTAAGAACATCTTCTACATGGACGTCAGGTATAAATGTAGAGAAACATTGAGTTAGTTGTTGGGGGAGATGACATGGGTATTTTGTTATTTGGGGCAGAGAAGGAGGAGAATTATAAAAACGAGGATTTGGGTCACAGAACCAGGAACTTCTCTGTGTCTTGCCAGTTTTCATGGGTGCTTTGAACTAGAAGAGTTAAACTGAGAGGAAGAAGAGCTCTACAGTGATGGTTTCTGTCTCCAAAAAATGCTTGATAAATATTATTAGAAACTTTATTTCACATTGATATGCCAAACACAATAACGACAAAGTCTCCAATGGAGACGTTACTGGGCCCGCTCGAGCAAATCGATGATCAACGGGAGGGCCTTTTATTTCACATACAATGTACAAATATATAGCTCTGATGCTTTGCTGCAAATTCTTTGGGTCCTATTTTCAATCTTTGAAGGTAATTGTTTTTTATAATGTAGGAGCTCTACTATTTATTCAGCCATTGACTAAGCTGGTTGAATTGAATATGAACTCCACATTACACCTTTTTTTAATTTTATAAGTTAGTTCACAATGTTTGATTACGCTCAATATTGAAACACCAATCCCACCACCATTACACCTTCCCTCCACCAAATTTGGGATGTTTACATGCCAAACCCCAATCCCTGTCACCAAACACAACTGAAGTAATATATTTCATATTGTCTGTTATGAAGAACTGCTGAACATGCTTACAAAAAAGTGTTCATATAGGAAGCAGTGTGAAGATTGTTCTATTTTGGCAGGAACCATTAAAACATTCTACGGTATATCATTAACATGTTGTTAAAGTTTGGGTGATGTGAGCTTTGGTATACATATCTGAGAATATGTATATATGCATATATATATATTTACCTCTATGATTTGTTGCCTACTATTTGAACCCCGTCAAATGTGGTGTAGTAATTATGAAGAATGGGGAGTGTATAATGATGTGTCATGAATCCACTTTTGTGGCCGTGCAGTCCAGGAATATGTTTATTCATATGTGAGGTTCGGCCCGAGCATGTGGGGAGCAGCCTTGAGCATGGCAGCAGTTGGGTTGTGGAGGTTTTTGGCTGCCGGAGCTGGGTTCCTTGTGGTGGAGAGGGCTCTCACCTGTCCCGCTCTGGGGAGGCCCATGTGAAACAGCCTGGAGCAGAGTCCAGTGGCATGGTTATGGGGGCCTCATGTTATGCTCCCTTTCAGGAGAAGCAGCTGTGTGATCTGGATGGTGGCCAATGATGAAATTTTCTGGCGCTGGCAGGAGGTGGCTTAGGGGCATGACCCCTGGGTTGTCGAAGATTGGGGGAAGTGGGCAGAGAATCTCTACTTCTGGTCCCATTGAGCCCAGAGTCAAAGGTCACAAAGTTCCACATTACCTGGGTTCCATAAGACGTCATTCATGCGTGAGGCTCTGCCAGAGGGCTTGGGGAGTGGCCCTGAGGGTGGCATGGGTTCCCACCTACTTCTGTGCGACAGGCCCTGACTGCATTTTTTTTAAATCTCTTTTGAGATTTATGGGTTTCTGAAATAAGGCCAATAAATGAGCTTATCTAGCGGAGCCGGAGGCGGTTTGTGGATTTGTCTCCCACGTACCTAACTTTTGGCCATTTAATTTCTTGGTAAACTTGACCCCAAGTTGTTGGGGTCTTGCCAAAGGCACAGCAGCAATTCTGCAGTATCTGGAAGTCTGCAGGCACCATCAGGTTGCTGATGCACCTGCCCCGTAGGTACAGGTTGACCTGCTGGCAGCATCATATCCCCAAAGATAATTTTTAAGAACTTGCAAACCTGCTCTTCCATAACATGACTGTGCGATTGATTACTACCCACCAGGAAAAAATTGAATAAATTTAGTGAATACACTGCTACATGGATGATCCCAAAATATTGATACTGGGTGAAAGATGTCTGCAAAATTAAACAATACACACTATACAATTATTATTTATATGACAGTCTAGAAAATATAAATTTACAGAGACCAAAAGATAAGTGACTACTTGGAAATGAAGGAGACCAGGTGGGAGAGAGGATGCATTTATGCCTCAAAAATAATCAAATTGTACATTTTATTTACCATTTTCTGCACTCTATCATTCTCCGTAAAATTAAATACAATAATAACAACAAATAATCCAGTAAATAATAAAAGTTAACTACTTGCCATCCAATTCGGAATGGGGGATTTCTTAGTTGAGCTGGAGATCAGGCGCTCATCTAGTCCAAGAACTAAAATATTATTCCCCCACATTGAAAATGCATGAGAAAATGATACGAAATACTTGGGTGCAAAAAGGTTATTTTATGTGGTTAAGAAGCACTTTCAGAAAAAAGATGTTCAACAGGCATTTTAGACACCAACAGCGGGATATGAAAAAAATGGCATGCAGTTTGATGAGGGTGTTTGTATTTGAGTGGCTCATGCAAGTCTGGGCCAGGGCTGTGTTTCTTAGAGTTGAAAGGGGCTGTCTGCTTCCACCAGCATTTCTTATTCTTTGTTTTTCGCTTAAGCATCACTTAGTTTCTATTTGTAAATGAACAAAGTCCTTTTTTTCTCAAGTTCAATTACCTTTCCCCCTCTCCCCCCACAATTTTACAGAGTTGTTCAGAAGGAGAGGGACAGATATAGAATGATTGCATTCATTGTGGGATATAAAAAAATAGTATGAGACTAATATCCAAGTACAGAAGAAACAGGGGCCATTCCTCTGGTCCACAGTTGGAAGCTTACCAGAAGTGTGTGCAGGAGCGGAGGGCAGTTACAATAGAGAAGGTATCACTATGACAATAATAGCTGGAAAAGATCACTCTGGACAAGAACTGAGTGATGAAAGGAAGTAAAGGGATATACATGATAAACTTTCAGTACCTGTATTGCAAACCGTAATGCCCAAAAGGGGGGTATACAGAAAGAGAGAGGGAGACACACACAGAGAGAGAGAGAGAGAGAGAGAGAGAGAGAGAGAGAGACAGAGAGACAGAGAGACAGAGAGACAGAGAGACAGAGAGAAAAAGACAAGGTTATAGAGAGAGACAGAGAGACAGAGAGGGAGAGACAGAGAGAGATAAACAGACAGACACACAGACAGACACACAGAGAGATAGACAGAGACAGAAAGTGCCTGCCATAGAGGCAGGCAGGTGGTGGGGAGAGGGGGGACAGGAGGGAAACTAGAGAGATATTGGAGGTGGGAAACAGAAACTCATGAAGGGATGGGTGTTGGAACACGGTGTGACTGAAACCTAATCATGAACAAAGGTATTTTTTAAAAAAAATTGGAAACTATGCCAAAGTATTATTAGGCCCAGTTCCATTTCAAAACCAGTGATGAAGAAAGAGGAGCAAACTGTTCCTAGGGAAATCACCTGCCTGACCCCTGGTGAACTATGATCCCCAGTGGGAATACGCAGTCTTGGTGGGGGTGGGAGGAATACCTGGCAGTGCTTGGGGATAGTCCTGGCTCTGTGATCAGGAGTTACCCCTAAAACCATCTGTGAACTGGGGAATCAAAGCAGGGTCCGCAGGATGCAAGGTGAGCACTTTAAACCCTGTGTTGGCTTTCCTGCCTGAAAGAATTCTTGTAGTGAACGGATGCATCATATTTGGAGGAAAATTGCAACTCACAGGCAGGGGTCAGAGGAACTTGAACTTGAGGGCAAAACCTGAGAAACACAACTCATGATCAGAGGACACAAAAGCTGGAAAGAGAAATGGTGACCTACCAGAAACAGGGCGATGGCAGTGCCCAGGATGAAGCCTGCAATCACATCGGAACAGTGGTTCCGATACTCCGACACCCGATTGAGACCCGTCAGGAAGGCTGTGCAGAGTGTCCCGAGGCACAGCACTGGCTTCGCCAGTCGACTGCTCTTTGTCTTGATTGTGCTTGTGATGTACATCTGGCACAAAAAGAAATCAGGAAGTCATAGGAACGTCTCCTTGCATGCTGCATATACACAATCAAGCACTTTTAAACAGTTCTGTCCTATTAGTTGCTAAACACTTAGCCACTTAGTCGAGAATTAGGGGTGGAACCTAATGCGATAAGAACAATAAACAGATATCCACTAATCACAATGTTTTATAATCATTCGGAGCATTAGTACATTCTTGTAAGATTTTAGCATACAAAATAAACCTTCCCCCAAACTCCATATATCCAAAATACAGACTCAGCAACACTAAAAACATGAGATCTAAACTGCAACCACTGGGACTTTCTAATGTGCCTGTCAAGTTGGCAGGGAGGGGAGATTAGGGGTCAGGAGGGATTACTGGAACACTGATGGAGGGAAGTTGACACTGGTGGTGGGATTGGCGTTTTGCTTGAAGAATGAATTGTCTTCCCGTTGTTCATCGATTTGCTCGAGCGGGCCCAGAAATATTTCCATTGGAGACTTTTGTTGTTACTGTGTTTGGCATATCGAATACATCACAGGTAGCTTGCCAGGCTCTGCTGTGATACTCTCGTAGCTTGCCGGGCTCTCCAAGAGGGGCGGAGGAATCGAACTCTGGTCGGCCATGTTGGCTGCGTGCAAGGCAAACGCCCTACCGCTGTGCTATAGCTCCAGCCCGGGATTGGCGTTAAAATATTATATGCCTAAAATTCAATTATCAATAACTTTGTAAATCAAATTTAATTAATAAAAAATTAAAAAATCAAACAACAAAAAAGAAAATGAATTTATAGGGGCTGAAGTGATAGTAGAGTGGGTAGTGTGCTTGTCTTGTGTGTGGATAACCCAATCCATATGGTCCCCTGAACACTGTCAAAAATGACCCCTGAGCATTACTGGGTGTGGCCTCAAAACCAAAAAAAGAAAATGAAAAATTTTCTAGAGATGACCAGGTAAGATACATACAAACTGGAGATATATTTTATTTTTTTGTATTCTTGCAGTCCTAATTTCTCATACTTTTAGGCAATGGATAAAAAAGTGTTGTCCAATAGTTGATTTGATTAAAACCTTCAAATCAGTGTATCAAAGAAATATGGAGAAATTGATGACCATATTTTTGAGGCAGTTATAATCATCTCTAAATTCATTTATTGAAGCATATTTTGAAATAAACTGAATTTGTGCCACAACTTATAAAAAGGTTGAGAGTAAGTAAAACATAATGACATAATGTGATATATGACACCTGAAGTGTGGGCTGTTCTAATTTAATTGTGAAGAGTTGGGGAAGACTCTAATGTTTCATAGGCTTATGAAACAAAAGAAAGCTGAGCCATGCTCAGATAACATTGTTAGTTCATCTTTGGTAAGATTATAAGTAACCACAAGAGGGCAGTATGAAACCACCATTTCTTTAATATGTACTTAAAAGAGTTTGTGACTGAAAAGAAATAGTATTCTGACACGGCCTATACCATTCTTGTATAGCCTGAGTACGTAAAAGTTAAAATAGATGCATTAACAATCTTATGATAGAGATTTTTAATTTTTTAGAATGAGCACACTGGTGTGAATACAGTAAGATGAATTATATATGCAAGAGATACCATTAATTACATTAGAGTCACATAAATTAGAGCATGTTAATATATCTTCTGAAGCTATAGGCAATGTTACTTAAGATCAGTATTATATATTTTAGCTTTTTAAAAAATTTTTATTAGTGAAACACCATGAGGTACAGTTGTAGACTTACAAATTTTTGTGCTTGGGTTTGTTATAAAATGATAGAGTACCCATCCTTCCACCAGTGTCCATTCTCCACCACCACTAATCCCAGTAACCCTCCCACCCTCCTACTCCCCCATCCCACCCTGGCTCTGTGGAAGGGCATTTCCTTTTGTTCTTTCTCTCCTTTTGGATGCTGTGTTTTGCAAAAGAGGCATTGAGTGGCAATCATGTTTGGTCTATAGTCTACTTTCAGCATGCAACTCCCATCCTGAGTGGACCCCCAACACCCTTTATTTGGTGCTCCATCCTGGGTGGACTTCCCAACACCCTTTATTTGGTGCTCCCTTCTCTATCTGAGCTGCCTTTACCCCTAGAGTGTGCGGCTGGCCTCCAAGCCAAGGAGTAAACCTCCTGGTAATTATCCCGGCTATTCTTGGGTGTTAGTCTCCTATTTTGTTACTTTATGTTCCCCAGATGAAAGCAATCTTTCTATGCCTGTCCCTCTCTTTCTGACTCATTTCACTTAGTCTGATACTTTCCATGTAGTACCACTTATATGTAAATTTCATGACTTCATCCTTTCTAACAGCTACATAGTACTCCATTTTGTAGATGTACCAGAGTTTTTTTAACCAGTCATCTGTTCTCGGGGACTCAGGTTTTTTCCAGATTCTAGCTATTGTAAACAGTTCTGCAATGAACAAACAAGTGCAGATGACTCCAGCTACTATTGTGTTGCTAACAATGTCCTCCTTGAAATCTGTTAGCAGTTGTTTTAAATATTTAGCTGTTTCCTCATTAGGTGCATATACATTTAAGAGTGTGATTTCTTTCTGTTGTACATATCCCTTGATGAAGAAAAAATAGCCTTCGCTGTCCTTTCTAATCTTTTTCAACCTGAAATTAATGTTGCCGGATACTAGTATGGCCACCCCAGCTTTTTTGAAGGAGATGTTTGCTTGCAGGATTGTTTTCCATCCTTTAACTTTGAGTCTGTGTTTGTTCTGTGTTGAGGTGAATTTCTTGTAGGCAGCAGAATGTTGGGTTCTGTCTCTGAATCCATTTTGCCACTCTGTGTCTCTTTATTGGTGAATTTAGACCGTTGATGTTGAGAGAGATTATTGGGGTTTTTTTTTTTTTGCTCTTTTGTTTGCATAAAATTTAAGTTTTTTTAAAAAAAATTTTATTAGTGAGACACCATGAGGTACAGTTATAGACTTACAAATTTTTCTGCTTGGGATTCAATTATACAATGATCAAATACCCATCCTTCCACCAGTGCCCATTTCCCACCACCACGGATCCCAGTATCCCTCCCCCTCCCCCTCCCCCCCCATCCTCCCTGCCTCTGTGGCAGGGCATTCCCTTTTGTTTGAGAGAGATTATTGTTATGGGGTTTTGTGTCATCTTTATGTAAAGGTCTGTTGTGCTTGTAGGGTTTGTCTTGTCTTATAGTAGCCCCTTTAGCCCTTCTTTTAGGTTTGGTTTTGAGTCTATGAAGTTCCTGAGCTGCGGTTTATCTAGAAAAGAGTGTATCGTTCCTTCGAGTTTGAGTGAGAGTTTAGCCGGATAGAGTATTCTTGGTGAAGCATTCATTTCAGTGAGTTTTTTAGCTATATCCAACCATTGCCTTTGGGCCTGGAGGGTTTCCTCTGATAGGTCTGCTGTGAATCTAAGGGGTGCCCCTTTGTATGTGATTTCCTTCTTTGACCTTGCTTCTTGCAGTATTGCACCTCTATCAGCAACATCGATCATTCTAACTATGATATATCTTGGAGTGTTTTTGTTAGGGTCTCTTTTAGCTGGCACCCTTCAGGCTCCTTGAATCTGAATGGCTGCAATGTCGAGATCTGGGAATTTTTCAGCAATGATTTGTTTGACCATGGCATTTTCACTGGGATTGTTTCCCTGAGCTTCTGGTACTCCAATGATTCTAATGTTGTTCCTCTTGGAATCATCTCCTAGGACTCTGATTTGCTCTAGAGCTATTTTGAGTCCCTTGCTATTGTCTGTTGTTGCCTGTTGGCTTGGTGCAGCAGATCTTCCAGCTCACTGATTCTGTCTTCAGTTGTGGTCATTCTACTGTTGAGGGCACAGACTGAGTTTTTTATTTCATCTACGGAATCTTTAATTCGTGACATTTATGTGCATAGTTTTCCAATTTCTGCTCTCATTTCTTCCTGGATTTTCTCGATTGTCTGATCCATTGTTTTTTTTCATGTCCTCCTTGAATTTACTGGATATCTGTCTGACTGTTTCATTTAGTTCATTGAACATCTTCATGACTTCATATCTGAATTCTTTGTCAGAGAGGTCCCATAGGTGAGTAGCACCCACTGAGGCTTCTGGACTCTTTTCATTGTCCTCCCCATGAGGTGGGGATTTGCGTTGCTTCTTCATGTTGGTGTATAGGTATGCGAAGTGTGATGTTACACTAGATTTCTTGGTGTGACTAAACTACCTGCAGCCGCGTGAACGTTGAAAGGCCTAAAATCAGACCACGCCCACTTCTACAGAAGCCACGCCCACTCCTGAAGAGGCCATGTCCCCACCGAAACCTGGTGTGTGGGGCATAAAGGCTGGGTGGGGAAGAAGACCTGCACAGCGTTGGGGGCGAAGAGGAAGAGGCAGAGGCTCCTACATATTTTAGCTTTTTATATCGCCATACTGTTACTTAATTATATCTTTTACAAGTCTTGCCTATACAATTAAAAGTTATTGAGAGCTTGGTGATTTATTTAGTATTCTTTACAGTATTTAACCATTATTTAGGAAATCCTTGTTAAATAGTGATTTCTAAAAGCAATTAACACATGACAGGGGCTCAGAAAGTTCGTACAGTTGAAATCTTGAATCAGTTTGTCTGATTATAGTCTCTCTAGGGGCATGATTTGAACTGGGTTATGTCTGAATTCTTGAAAATGTGCTATTTAGCATCTATTCCAAATGATCTGTGCTTATTTCTTTATGAAGTAAATTTATATATCATTTGTTGAGACAGCTTATTATGAGTAACAGATTTGTTTAAAATTGTTATAACAATTAATATTAGCAATGGTAAGTCTCATAAAAATGAAGAAATAGACTTGGGAGTCAATATAAATCAGTATTTTGAGAATTAGAAAATATGCTGGATGCCTGAGAGAATTTCCTTTATTTAAAAAAAAAAACCTGGCATAGGGTTTGTTTGTTTGTTTTTTTCAGCAAAGAAATCTCAACAAACCACAACTGATCCAGTTTGAAAATTAAATCTTCTCCATTATTTATGTTCTTGTTTCCTTAAGGGGGGGTGGAATGTCTGAAATCATTTTCAACACATTTTCATTAGCAAGTTAATCTAAAAGAAATAGCCAGGAAGGCTTATATTGCATAACTGGTAGTTGACAAACTGAGCCTATAAAATTGATGCTGTAAAATGGAATACAAATAAACCATTGTTTTTTAAAGAAATGTAGCAAATAATTGCACATTGTAGCTCTTCGCTGTGGCTCCATTTCCACGACTGTAAAATGAGAAATTTGACTGCATGATGGCAGGAGCAACAGCATAACACAAGAGAAATACTGTAATGTGACTGCAAAAAATTTGCATATGATAATGAAAAGTATGTTTGTGTGTGTGTGTGTGTGTGTGTGTGTGAGAGAGAGAGAGAGAGAGAGAGAGAGAGAGAGAGAGAGAGAGAGAGAGAGAGAGAGAGAATCAGAGAATCTTGGGGGAAACAGCAGGACCTACAAGACTTAGATACTCACGGTGGCATATAAGGCCGAATAGATGCTCAGAGCAGCGTGTTTGGAGGGGAAGGATCTCCGTGCTTTTTCGATCACTTCCAGGTCCCCGGTACAAATGTTCCCATTGTTTATGAATTGGTGGTGCGTTCGGCAGTCTGCGCTGGTATAGTTCGGCTTGCACACTGTCAGGAAGTATGGTGTTAGGTGCCCGGTGACCACTTGTCCGGCATTTACAAAAATGTCAGTAGCAAAAAGTCCAAATGCAAATACACCTAAAATGAAATTTGAAATGATTAGAAAAGGCACATATACCATTGACTGGTTTTGTCCCTGGGAATAAACATTGTCGTGAGTCCATCAAAACATATCCAAAGTCTTTTATTCACCTGTATCTCTCCGGTGCCCTCTTCTCTAATCATTCAAATTGATAGGCATTCTGCAGTTAGCATTTCATTGTTTTGCATCAATACATTAGAAGAGACATTTAAATGGAAAGATTTTAAACTTGGAATCAGGGAGATACGGGCACCCCCCGATGTCTGTTAAATCACATTCAGAGTATAGGTCATTTGCCTTTTCTGAATCTTGGTACTTTAAAATACATGATGGCTGGGAAGAGTAATAACTCAGAAAGGAGTGAGAGAGATGAAATAAGATCTATGCAAAATACCCAGTGTGGTGAATGGTGTTAACTATTCAACATCACCATTTTTTTCTCTGTATAGAAAATATCTTTGCCCTGGTCCTATTTAAAACTTTAAAGTTCCTAGAAATTATCACATCTTTTCAGGTGAAAAAGGAAAAGACTGTTAAAATGCTGCCCTTAAAGGAGAAAAATCTCATTCCTTAAATCTTAGGAGCATCGGATGTTTCATTTGTTGTCTGTGCCAGAAAATGAGAAGAAAGGGAAGTAAGGATAAAAGCTGTTGACTATATTACTTTGCAATGATCCCTACTGTTAATTACCCTTCACAGAGTGGCTTGAAACAACACAAATTTATAATATAACTCAGAAGGACACAGCCCAAATTTGGCAGGGGTATGTTTCTTCCAGAAGCGCTGAGTAGAATCTGTCCCTTACCTTTATTCCACTTTCTAGAATTTTCCTTAATTCCTTGATGTATACTCCCTATAGAGCAATTCCATAATTCTGACCATTGCCAAATCTTCTTCATTGACTCTGATCCTCCTTTTTCCTCCTTAAAGGACTGTTTTATTAGACTGAGTTCATCTGGATATTGAGGGTCACTGTTACTGTCACTGTCTTCCCATTGTTCATCGATTTGCTAGAGCAGGCCCAGTAACATCTCCATTTTTTTTTTGAGACTTGTTGTTACTGTGTTTGGCATATTGAATACGTCGCAGGTAGCTTGCCAGACTTTGCCGTGCAGGCAAGATACTTTCGGTAACTTGCCGGGCTCTCCGAGGGGTTGGAGGAATCAAACCCGGCTCGGCCAGGCTGGCTGCATACAAGGTAAACACCCTACCGCTGTGCTATTGCTCCAGCCCGATATTGAGGGTATTCTCAAGATATGATCACACCCGTAAACTTTATCTTGTCATATAAAGTAACACATGTCCCAGAGGTTGGGATATGGCTATTTTGGAAAGCGGAGGTTATGATTTTTTTTTTTTACCTATTCATGTGATTGAGAGTCTTGGGAGTAAGCCACACAAATTTTATCTACTGTCTGGTAAATTTAGTGATTAGATCCAATAAGTTTGGAGATATATATAGTACTCCAAAGAGCAGCTTTACTGTGAATTCTTTTAAAATCTATACAGTACACCTATATATTATTTGTGGAACATTTTCTACAAAATAAACTGAGTGCCTATGCAGAGCCAAAGTACGTCCTATCAGTAGTTGGGATAAGAAACACGTTTCCTAAAACAGCTCAATAATGGGAGAAGTTGGCAAGTGTGAGAGACAATGTTAATTGCATATGACAAGGGTCTGATTTAGTTTCAATTAAATTTCTACCCAATTTTGACTCCCATATTCAATGTTCTAAATCAGCACATTGTGCTGACTTCAGCACCCAAATATTCATTTATTAAAGGAGAAATGAAGGCAAGCTTGGCTGAAGCCTTCATCCAATTTTCATTTGGAGCTGTATCAAATGCTATAATTTTCTTTCTTTCATTCTTTCTTTCCCTTTCTTTTCTTTCTTTTTATTTGAGTGTATGCACTCATTCCTCTTTCATGGCGATTTGCATCTCCAGGTTCTTGAATTCTGAATGGTTGGGATTTTTTATTTTCTAATATCTTCAATCAAGATTCTCAAATCCCAGATCTCCAGCATTTTCAAGAGCCAATAAGTCTGTCTGGAAGTACTTTTCTAGGAAACAAAACCACTTATGATTTAAAAAGGGAAAAGGATAATCCTTTCCTCTGGCATTTTATTTGTCAAAATTGCTTTCCACAATGACAGGTTAGCTTTTACAGAAAGAGAGAATTTCCTGGCACTTCTGTGGGTTTCCTGTCTGGTGTGCTGTGTATGGCAGTGCCATGCTTTCCCGTCCCTCTCTTCTCTGCCTCCCCTGGAGTTAGGTCAGCTTTTTTCAACCTTCTAACAAGTATTGGTTTTATGGATGTTTGCTTCCTGTGCTCTTGACTTGGTTTCAGAAGGACACCGGCTGCACCAAGGTTCACCTGCCTGGCACAGGCATTGTCAGCCAGGGCCGAGGAAGGAGCTGCAGAGATCTACAGAAAACCCAGGGCTTAGAGAAGGCATTCCAACCACCCTGTGCACCTCAGGGTTATGCTTCATGTTACACATGCTTAAATTTTACCCTCCCTTTTTTTCATCCTCAGAGTCAGTTGGATTAGCTGATTCTGTGTGGTCTATATTGTAAAGTATGATTTGAAGGAGCTTTTTTGTTTTTTCAATGGAGGTTGTGCTCCCCAGGCAGGCTCAGGGAGCCTGAGGACCACTGTTGGAAATATTCAACCAACTGGGTGGATGATTTAATGGTGGCCTGGAGATAAGGGGCTTTTCAGATCCAGTGGAACCAGAAGTCATTTTGTCCACTTTAGTGGTGCTCATGGGAATCCAGGGTTATAGCTGGAGGTGCTCAGGGAGGCTGCTGATGATAGAGCTCAAACTTGAGCATTTAGTGCACATGCTCCTGGGTGCTGAGATATCTCTCTGTACTAGTGCTGGGAGTGCAGGTGTGGGTGATTTCTGGAGTGATTAATCTTTCTGTACAGTGCTGTTCTTAGGCCCTGTGGTGCAGGGAGCCAGAAGGGTCACACCTACATTTTCTGAGGCATGCAGTGCTGGGACAGAATTCAAGGCCATTGCAGACAAGGTATGAGCTTCAGCTTTTTGAGCTATCTTCCAGCCCCTGAAGGAGATGTCTTATGCATGTTTATGTATCCTACCAATTTTTAAGTGATATCAGTTTTGAAATGAAAGATCCACTTTTATTTCTGTAACCCTCTCTAGGGCTGGAGCGCAGCGGGTAGGGCATTTGCCTTGCACGAGGAGGACCCAGGTTCGATTCCTCTGACCCTCTCGGAGAGCCCCTCAAACTAGCGAGAGTATCCTGCCCACATGGCAGAGCCTGGCAAGCTCCCCATGACATATTCGAAATGCCAAAAATGGTAACAAGTCTCACAGTGAAGATGTTGCTGGTGCCCGCTCAAGCAAATCAATGAACAATGGGATGACAGTGCTACAGTGCAACCCTCTCTAGATGTTCCTATTTATTGTATGGCTCTACTCCAGTCACAGTGTTCCTTGCTCCTTTTTTTTTAACTCACCAAAACTGAATTGCATTTATGAATGGATTCACAGCAGACAGTCTAAAAAAAATTAAATGCTTCTGATTTTTCTGGAGACACTTGCTATTATTATTGCTTTGTTAGAAATTCCAAAAAAAGCTGGCAAGGGAAGTCCAAGAGCCAGTCTTCAAGAGACTAGTGAGTTTTAAGATCAACTCTAGAATAGGAAAGGGTGTGTCGAGGATAACATCCAATGAGGAAAAAACACTATCAAGTCTGGCTGAAAGGGCACTCCCAGATTTTTTGTTTCAGAGAGATTATCAAGCTCCAGGAAAAAGTTCCTAAAAATATCCAGAATGATTTGGGGGATCTAATTGAAGTATGTTCTCTGTCGCCCAGGATGCAGCCTAAGGGCCCTACAAACTTTCTGAAAATCTCCCCAATATTGTGGTATCACAGCAGCCTGTATCTCACAAGGAATGCAGAGGGAGAGTCTGATTGGCTGAGACCAAGGCCACCTCACAAGACCTCACATTCAAGCACAGCATCAGCATTACAGAATTCTACCAACTGTAGGGGGCAGGAGCAAATGTTCTGAGGACCAGGGAGCTAGCATAGGCCAGGAATAACAACAGAGGTTGCCAGTAGTTAGTTGGTGATGTCTGATCCTTATCAACATAACATAGATTGGCTGAGAAAACCCCTAGTGTGTCTTTTCTTTATGACCTACAAGAACTTGACACCCATCAAACAAGTAAAAGAATGAAGAAGAGGAAGATTTTTTTAAAATCCTTATTTTTCCACCCTTGGGGTTTTACCTGAACCCACCTGGTCTTGAGAGGATGTCATTGGATAAGTCAGGATCTTCAATCACTAATAATTCAGTATATGGAAGTGAGATTCTGAGACTTGGTCATGGCCACAGAATTGGCGTTGTGTCCTGCTCTTTCACTTAATAGAAAATGTAGTAGCAGCAGAATAACCAGGAAATGTACGTTAGGAGGATCTTTAAGACAACAGGTGATGGAATCCACAGTAGATAATAAAAGTGTGAAGACTGACATAACTTCAGAACCAGACTACACAGTGCTGAGGAGGGCTCGTGCTTCCTACCCAGGAACACTTCATTAACCCTACCCAGGAGCACTTCTCCAACCCTGTGTGGGTATCTGCAACCAGACACCCACACAGGGTTGGAGAGGCAATCTGGGGAGTACTGAATCCCTTTAGTTGCAATAGCCTGTGTGACCTCAGGTGGAGCTTCTAAACTCAAATGTTCCATATACAATGATAAATGTATAACTTTTCCATTTAAAATGATATGTTGCAGACAGCTTCTGATAGACTCAACTGTTGACAAAAATATACATGATGACAATGAAGGAAAATAGAAAACCAACAATAAATATCCAGGATGAAGGGACTGGATGGGTTACTTGACTCTCTCTCTCATACACACACAGTTTTGCCTCATGGAAAACTCAGCTTTCTTCTCAAATGGCAGAGATCTCAGGAGACAAAGAAAGGTTTCTTTCCTACTCT